ATACCTGACCGTGAATCTGTATGTTGCTAGTGTCTGCGGTGGTGGCTGCTTACATCATCTGATTCCTTCTTTTTACACTCTCGCTCTCTTATTCCACCCTTTTCCTCTTCCTCCTTACTTCGTTGTGTTGCCTCCTCCTTTTTCTTGCGTAATTTAAAGCTTTAAAGTTGTTATTGCCGATTGTGTTTGTTTCGTTCTAATTATTTAATTTTTTTTTCTTTACTTTAAGAAAAAAAAACTCCATTTGGTGAGATATAATTTCCAATATATTTACATCAAATTTCTGGTTTTTATTTCTTTGGTATTGTAACCACTTGTTTTGTAAATTCTCTTCCTTTTAAATATTTCAATATTAACAACTTTTTCTTAATGTATATTATTTCGCAAAAGCTATTGTAATAAGAAGTGTATTTTATACAAAATTTCCATAATTTTATCTTATTTACATTCTCCTTAATGTTTATTATTTCGCAAAAGCGTCAATGACGTTTAAAATTAATATATTCACACACGAATGCTATGCGCTTTGCGTGGTGGCCGCGAGATGAAGGGAAACGGTAACTTTATCCACTCACGCTTTGGTTTCTCTTTCACGACTTGCTTCAGTTAAGAGACATTTTTCAATCACTCTTCAAAAATTTTAATAAATTTTGAGCTTTTCTTTTATTCTTTTGATATGAGGGTCGTTTCTGCAAACGAATTCAGATATTCATGTGTGAGTGGCTTTTATTCGATTTTTTTCTCTTTCAGTCATTGCTTTTTTGAAAAAAAATATTTTTTTCTTTACACACACTTCTCTTTATGTGGCTCCTAGTATATGGGTTTTTCTTAAATATTTTCTTTGTTATTTTACTTATTATTTTTTCTGTCAAATACACAATTTCTTTACATAATTTGTATACACTCATCCGTACATGCATTTTTATATTGCACACATGGAAATTTATCGACAATAGCAGTAATGATGATTTCCTCACATTTCTTTACTCGATGCAAGCAAACCTTTTTTTTTTTCTTAACGTTTAACAATTACTTTATCCCTGCTGACTTATATTTCTTTAATAAAGTTCTAGTTAATAACTTCATTTTCCATTATTTTTAGACATTATATTGCAAAACTGTAAGCTTTAAGCGCTATTTTACCTTCTTTACACGCGAACTTTAAAAAGATCTCTCACATTAGTTGCTGTTAGTCTTTTGTCCTTTTTTTTTTTCTTTCTTTGCACTTGAAGGCTCAATTTTAAAAATAGTTTTATTTATCCGCTTTTAGACCAAGCTCGCGGACACGTCCGCACCTCAGCAGAGGCCAAGTAATTCCCCCCTCTATCTTCGAAACAAAACACAGACAGACTTCTCATCCCTGCTCAATTTTTCTCTTCTTCTTTCTTCTTCAAAACCAAGCAAAATCCCGCAAAATCATGCGATTTTGCTTATGCTTGAAAAAGAAAAAGAGAACCCATCTTAGTGAAAGAGAAAAGAAGAAAAGAACAAAACGATTATATCCCGCAAGATCATGCGATTTATAAACGGTACCACAAAATCACACGATTTTGCCTAACGGCATGCCGTTAGACACTCTACCCAAGGTTTGTTCGCGGCCGTTACACTGTTTAATAAGATTTTATATGCTTTCGATCTGGAATTCGGCGGAAAATTTCTTTAAATCAATCAACGAAAGTAATAAAATTTCAAAATGCAATTATGAGCGTTTCAGTTAACTATCAAAAAAATTTGAAAACATTAAATATTGAATTTATTCATCCGTATTACGACGTTTATAGTTAGGTGTTCTGCAGTTAACTAAATTAATTTACCGGGATTCTTAGCCACATGAATACCATCGGGAATATTTAATTTAATTTTCAAATTTGTCCGCTTGCTTTGGTTCATGATAAAAATGAAAAAATTTGAAAAACCTTAATTGCGCGTGAAGTTAACGATTCTTAATATGGAATGATTGGAATTACAATTGTTGATCACTTTTCAGCATCAAATATTAAAAATGTTTACTTTTCATTTTTCAGACAAATACATTTTCAATTATTTAGAAATGTAAACAAATCTGGACGCTTACTCTCAGATGTTGGCAATTTTTATACGCTTACTCTCAGATATTAGCAATTTTTATACAAATTATTGAGATAAGAAAATAAACAAAAATATAAAAATTTTGCTACTTAAGAAATGTGTGCTCTTCTTTACATCTCTTTGCAGTTTATTAAATAAATCACCATCAAATTCATCGCTACCATTGCTATATTCCACATTGATAGGCATAATTTTTGAATAAATGGCGACACCGGCATAATTGCCCTCTCTGCAAGTCCACTGTCAAATTTATCTGACTAATCAGTCTATGAAAAATCCGTTCGCTTGGCTTTACTTCGGCATCGGTGCGTGTAGGTGTTGGAGTACGTGTACTTGATAATTCCCTTCGATTCTATTAAAAAAAATTTATTTTTTTTTCAAAAGTTTTATCTAAAAGGAAGAATTCTTACAGACTACTTATTGTTATTAGCTTTACTTACGAGCTAATTTATTTACTAATTGTCTAGTTAGCATTTATTAATTATGTTAATGCAGTGACTTACGTTAGCATTAGTTATCTAGAGCTGCATTTTTAAGAGAGACTAGCTGTAAATTGTAAATTAAATGGACAGCGAACAAAATCGTTTGCTTACAAACAGCTGAACCAACACAAAAATTTTAAATTTGCGAAACTTATGTTAATTAAACCTTCTTTTGCGCTTTTTGCTCCCATTGTCTGAATCATCAATATTTCCATATATCAACGTAACTATCGCTATCAAGTGCCAAGGAGCAACAAACAATAAAAACTTATTAGTCTACTTGGTCTGTGATCCGTTTAGGCCTAATTTTGTGGTTGCTGAGGTCTGGACATTATCAATAGCTGGCGTGTTATGATTTCTACCAAGTGGTTGCACAAAACGCCATCTCTGTTGTTGAATCGGAATCAATACAAGATATAATAAGATGGGGTATCAATGCCAACACAAAAGCATGGTTTTATAGGAAGTTTGGTATTCCCCATAGTAAGTAATTCTTTTCCAGTATTAAATTCAAAATAAGTATTCTTTTTCAGTATTAAGTTCGAAATAAATATTCTTTTCTAGTATTAAATTCGAAATAAGTATTCTTTTCCAGTATTAAGTAATCTGTAGCGATCTTGTCTTCTCGGAATCTTAGAAATTCGTCGAATATGCAACAAAAAGTCGCAAGCATGAGGATCTCTTCTCTTAAGCGTCCTATCTTGATGTTTGACATAGAATTTCTTCTTTAATAAGTTCATATAGAACATTTTTATTATATTTGCATTCGCGTGAAGCATTGGCGGGGATTTGCTTTATAAAATTGCAAGCGAGTCATATGCAAGAGTAGATTCAAAAAATCATGTTCAGCGATAACTTTCCTACACCTAGCGACTTTACAGAAATTTAAGCGTGCGAAAACGTTTGACATACTTCAAACACTAGGGTCTTTTTGTAATAAAACATCGTCAACCATGTTGGTAAAAAAAAAGCAAAATATTTGGGATGAGAAAAACTTTTCGTTTCTTCTACGGTTCGTCCTCAAAGAGCCAAATCATTTGAGTGGTGAAGAAATTTGATTCGCCTTTACGTTCCGCAGCCACTTTACATATCTTCTAATAATATTGATGCTATAATAATAATAATAATTAAATATTGAAGTTCCATAAACTTTTCTTATCAATCATCGTGAAAATACTGAAATAAGCTTAATGGAAAATATTAAAATGATTCTATTAGGTATTGCCGTTTCAATTTTTAAATTGGAGGTAACATTAACGTAAACATCTGTGTTGCTAAATATATTTTACAGACTTGTTTATACCGGTTATAGTAAAGTTGAACTTCGAATTTGGTAACTTGAGAGACCGATGGTTTGAACTTCTAATTTGGTAATTTGAGAGAGCGTGAATGTATTTAGGAACGTTTCAAAATATTTCCAAACATTTAATAGCATTTGTCGAGTAATTAAGGATTTCAAGAAACCAAAATTTCTTCAGTTGAGGGGATTTTGAATTTCTTCCAATTTTTCTCCGTATTCTAATTTTATACGAACTTCTTCACCAACTCGTAAAAGGTGTTTTCTTCTGCAGAAAACCGTTAGCTGGTTTTTTTCTTTACAAGGCTTACAAAAAAAATTATCATGTATTGAGAATAGAGAGACAACAGATTTGGTTTCAATAAATGACAACGCTTTGAATGAACACGAACACAAAAATACGAAATAGTCACATCTCTATCATATCTCTGTTAAACGTTACAAATTAAGATGCTTTCTCTGTTAAATATAAAAAATTTCTTGTTGTGCTTTTCTTGTTCTTGTAGCTATGTGTTGCTATACAATAAACAATAATTGAAACGTTCCTAATATTTACTGATGTCTCATAAATCGAAAAAATAAATTAATCAAATAATGTTGAGAATGGATGGTTCCTTTGCCCAAATCGTATTATTTGGCAAAGAAGGAACACCGATATAGGCGAACATGAAATCTCGTAAGACGTAGCAGAGCTCTACGTGACGCTTCAATATTGAAATTGTTTGCAAATCAAAGGTAAACACAAAGGTAGACAGGCGGCAAATGTTACCCCAAGCAGTCACTGCACGTATATTTTATAACTTAAATAAGTCTCTGTCACAAACAAATTTTAGAATAATTATTACAATTATTGCTCTTACGTTACCCGAATATGTGTAAATAAATGGGTCTACACATTTGTCAATAAGGTAAACACATTGTCACATGTAGGTTTGTGCAACTCTCTTTTCAATTATTTTTTCGAAATTAATTTGGAATTGTGAAAGCCATACATAATTCTCAACTGATTAGTTCTCCGGGTACGCCGTTCAAATACCTAATTAAAAGTTATGTATCTTACTGCTCAAGTACCGCGATTACCCTTCAAGATTGGTATTATAATAATGTGGCAGCGCCCTATGTTTTTATGGCAAAGCATTTTTTAATGCAATCAGGAAAGTAGTTTTCTGTTTGGAAATTGTGAGTTGTGAATTAGTTTGAATTTATTGTTAATATTGGAGAACAGCTCTGTCCAACAACAAAATGCTCCTTTTAATGAAATTATTTCGACTCTGGTGGTGGCTTATAATCTCAGTTGCTTGTGTTATCGAATCTGCAACAGATGAGGTAAACCCATGAACTAATATGTTTACATTAAAAATGTTGAAAGCTATCATGAAAAAAAAAATTGTCATACCGGTCGATGCTTTTTAAATTCAATTTATCCTTACCTCTTGCTTGCACATATGATTGGTTCAACACACCTATAAATAGATAAATTAAACAATGTGCGTGTGCATTTTCATAAACTTTTGTTTGTTTTCGCTTAGAGTCTTAGTTTCCAGCGTTACTCTCCATTGGTTACAGAAGATCAATTCTTAAATAACGATAAACGTTTTCAACAAATTATGCAAGGTGCCACTTCAGCCGATATAAACTGGCCGGACAAAATAAGGACTGAAAAAATTGATGTTAAAGATGAAATTTATAAACTAACTAGCAGTAAATACATGTTGCATATTCTGAGAGAAAACAAACATTAATTTGTTGATTCCATTTTAATAAAGCCTATGTTTACCAGCCGTCTTGGCCGGATTTGGCAAGAGAATTAGGTTCGGTGACAGCAGTTGATTTCGACAAAGGTGGTCACGTTGTACTATTTCATCGTGCAGATCATGTTTGGACTCAAGCTACGTTTGATCACAACAATGTTTACCGGGACAGAGAAAAAGGTCCAATACGTAGTAGTACTGTCTTGGCTTTAGATTGCCAAACGGGAAAATTAGTCTATGAATGGGGTAAAAATTTGTAAGTTGTGTGCGTTTATCTACAACTTACACAAACGGTAAAATTTTATGCTTCCAGATTTTATATGCCCCATGGATTAAGTATAGATCAAGAAGATAATGTTTGGATTACTGATGTGGCTTTACACCAAGTCTTCAAGTTCGGGCCTCGTGGATTCCCGGAGAAACCACTATTGGTTTTGGGTAAAGCTTTTAGCCCAGGAACAACAGACACTAAATTTTGTAAACCTACTGCTGTGGCGGTACTTGAAAGTGGTGATTTCTTTGTAGCTGACGGTTATTGTAATGCTCGAATACTTAAGTATTCCAAAAAGGGAGAAAAAATACTTTCTTGGGGTCAAAATTCTTTTGCGGGTTCTTCATATGACCTAGCTCCTCCCAATTACTTCGCTATACCACATGCCTTAGCGTTAGTCCCAGATCGTGAGTTAATTTGCACTGCTGATCGAGAAAATGGACGCATACAATGTTTTTTTTGGAGTAACGGAACCTTTCATTCACAATATCATTCTCTTCTAATCGGAGATCGACTTTTTAGTTTAGCTTATACACCAATAAAAGGTAATACAAAATATAGGTTTGAAATTAAAATTTATTGATTTAATTATTTAGGAGGTCAATTATTGGTAGTTAATGGGCCTAATGCTGAACTGGGTACGCACCCGGAACATTACAATGAAGTACGCGGCTATGTATTGGACATTAAATCAAAGAAAATTTTATCGAAATTTGGCCCTAATGATCTGCAATTTTCTAATCCCCACGATTTAGCTGTCACTAGTAATGGCTTGGAAGTGTATGTAGCCGAACTAAATCCTATGCGTTTACATAAATTCTTGCATAAATCTGTGGTGAGAACTACATCGTTGTCGGCAGCTAAGCCCGCTGTTACTACTACTGTTGGCGGTAATTCTAAATACGGAATTAGTAAAGAAAACTTACATATTATCACAGCAGACAACAACTCCAAAGGTTTAACAAAAGATACTGCATCGTCGTTCGAGTCGCCCACTGCGGTCAGCTACCATCGTCCGGGAGGAACTGCCATTTTGGTGGCATCGTTAATGCTATCATTTGCATTCCTTACATTTGCCATGGCTTTGCTTTTAGCACGTCGTCGCAAGAGAGGTAATAGTCCCACCGTAAGCATAGGCCAACCTAGCGAATTAGTCTATCGCAAATTGGTGGCCTCCACTCAAAACATTTGTGACGACTGTCCTTAAATTGTGATCTATCATAACTTGACGCATATTGGCAGCAAAATGTATTGAAATTTTCCATAAATTGATTATGAGCACTCAGAACAAATATTATCACAGCCGTATATAGCGTATTCTAAACTTAAAGTTTTAAATGTTAATATCAGTTTGTGATCATTTTCTTTTCTCCTTTACTTAATTTTTATTATGCTTTCATTTACATTTTTTCTTTGTTTTCAAAATAACTAATCATTGGTAAATTATTTTTACAATGTGCATTACGTTAATTTATACTGATTACATCAAGTTTTTAAAACATTTTTGCTGACTTTGCAATAAATTTTTTCATTTTTTTAAACTAATTGTTATATTCATAAACCCTTTGCTCTCTATTGCGTGCAGTTTGGAAAATAAAAATATTTTTTAACGACAAGTTACATTTCTCTGCCTTCTCGTTTCTTAAAGCCCTGAAAACCTGAAACCTTCCTGTAAAATATCAACGTTCTTATTATCATAGGATTCAATTCGGAGTCAATTCCACAGGTTCGGCCGCCTCAATTGTTGCGGTTTGGCATGAATAATAAAATATTGTTAAAAGCAATTTTCCATGAACCGCAGGTATTTCATAGTTTCAGAAATTTCATTTAAGAAGCGTTTCTTTACTTTACTTTCGGCGCTTTCTAGAAATGTAGCAATTCGTTTCAATTTTCACATTATAATAAAGACAATTTTTTACATTCGAAGTTTTCACCGTATAACAAAACACTCCTTACCCTTTTTTTACACATTTATTTTTGTCTTCTCATTTATAACCAAACACGGATTTATAGTTGACATATTTTAGCAGTGCTCTGTTCTTGAAAATTCTGATCGCCTTCTAAATATTTTGATATAATTAAGGGCGTTTCCAGTAATTGTGTGGTGACAGTTGGCCAAAATTGGCTTTACTTTTTTATATGAGCGCACACTATGTGTTGAATAAAAACAAATAAAGAAGGAGAGCTAATTAAGAAACCTTTTTCGATTTAAACTGATTGCTTTCCATTGATAAATATTTTAGTAGATTTGGGAAAACATATTTAATCAAAAGAGCATATAAAACAGTAGGAACCATTCGAACTGGCAGTTTTGCATTGCTCATATTTAAGCTAATATTTTAACATTAAATGCAAAGACGGAAAGTAATGGAACCGCTAACTGCCTTAAAAGATTGAAATGCTGTCTTCAAATTAATTCTGGCCAAACATATAAGCGAACTTGATGCATTGTTTAACTTAATCTAACCACAATGAAAAATAAGAATTGAATTATATTTATTTATTTAATTAATTAAATTCCGCTACAGACAGTCATTAGCTAAATGTAAGCTACAAAATAACTTCAAATCTAATATAAAGAAGAAAAATAACTAAAAATAAACACGAAATCAACATATAATATACAACAAAATCCATCTAACCCCCAAATTAAGAACTGGGATATATACTGATGTATGAATAACAGCTTATGCAAATGAGAAAAGATTAAATATAAAGGAGTATTTTTATTCAATTTACCTACATTTATAAAAAACTCGAAAATGTTTAGCAGTTAGTAATGTAACACAGCTTCAATCTACTAATATATGGTGTTCATATATATAGAGCAGAATCGCAAACCTAGCAAAGCAAACATCAGGAAGTCTCGTTCAACACACTCCAAGAGATCAATATGTTATCTATAACTGAGAAGGCAAACTATCGGCGAGTATTCAAGGGTTGGTCTAACTAAAGAAGTATACAAGCACTTCGTAACGTATGGTTTTTGAAATTTTTTAGACCATCGATTTATAAATCCTAAACGGGCTCTGCTTTATTAACTGGTCCTTCAATATGACTGTCAAACTTGAGCTTTGAATCATAAATCAAAAGCAATTCCAAATTCTTTCTAATTATAAACATTTTCCAGGATGTGATTGTCAATTCGATAATAAGAAGGCATCGTATTACACCATGTAAAAGACACTTCCTTACATTTGCTTGAATTTAGCACCGGTATTGGTTGCGCACCATGAAGACAGGTTCCTAAGATAAGACTGAAAAAGTTTAGTACCACGTAATGGGTCAAAAACGAGGGGCAGTTTAACGTCGTTTGCAAACATTAAAACATTGGAATGTTAAATGTACTCCGGAAGGTCATTCACGTCTAAAATAAATAAAATCGGGCCAAGATTCGAAGAGCTATATGGCTTGAGGCCATATAGCAAAGTATAGAGAGCCAAATGGACGTAACGATCATCTTTCTAAACGGATCGAAAAAATGTGAAAAGCTCCCAATTTATTTTCGTTTAAAAAACTTGATATTTTCTATTCCCTATAAAAAACACATCAAATATTCTTATAAGGATTTGGATGGTGGATTTTCAAATTAGCTTTGATCGGCGCATGGCTTCTTTATTATATTCAACTATTTGTACCTAATTGCTTTGTTTTCCATAATGTTTGTTTTCCAGGATGTATGCCTTTTGGCGTTAAACGTCTGCGCCATGCGTGGGATTTTCCATCCAAAACGGATGCTTTTAAATTGGGCGGCTTTTTATTGGATCGCAGCAAGCACAATGGTTTTGAGAAACTAGACCAGAATGCTAGTGACGAGGAAAACGAGCCAACTAGCAGTAGCAGCGGTTCAATATTGCGAAATATACAATTTGCTTATTAATAAGACGCGATAAAAATAAATTACAAACAAAAACTCAAAAGTCCTTTATTTTTCCTTTATAAATTCTAATTTTCTTATTTCAGCACCTTAAAATCGTAATAAGTGTTATGTTCCAAAAAATATAAATAAATTGTAAAAATTTACGATCGGTTATTATTGTTGTTTAAAATACAAACATATTTACAGATTTGATTTCATTAAGGGTTTTAAGTATTTCTGAAATGATGCGTTAACCGCCTCTTTATTTAAAGGGCTCTTTTTAGCTGCATCGAAGATTTTTTCGTAAACATTGCCATCATAGGCACCAAGAGCGGAATCTAAAATTCGGTCATGCAAATCGAATCCATCCACTAGAGCAACAACATTGGGCCGCAAACGTTTCAAGCACTCTTGGAAATGTAATTCAAGTCCATTAACGTCTTGTTCAGTTAATTTTATAAACTATTGAGAAATGATATAAACGAAATTATTTATTTTTATATATTTACATATATAAGCTTAAATGTTAATTCGTGGCATATATTAAAAAGAAAATGTGGATTAGCGAAAAAAATTGAATTCAATAAAAGGAAAACGAAGGAAGAACAAATTAGACAACAATCGCAAAAGGAAAACAAATGTCATAATTGTGCAGGTTTGAATTCATTATTGAAAGTTAATAGTCCATTGTCCAACGCAGGTACGCGCCAACCGATTTAATTTTTTGTGGTGGGGAGACGGAATATGCCAAGTCGCTCATAAATATCGATACATGTATTGGGATACACGATAAAAAAAGCACTTTCGACTTTAGTACGTTTCAGCTAAATTTTTCTTTTTTTTTAATATAGAAGTATGTCGAATTTGGGAAGAGTGGTGCCAATGACATTTAACACTTGTTTTTCAAGAATTCTAGAAATAACTAGAAGTAGGAAAACAAAAGAATATATAACCTTCAATCGTCAAATGGTTGTAAATGTGTGAGAACACATTTGATCGCGAAATTTGCGGTTTTGCTAGAGGCTTACACGTATTCATAGGAGACAAATTAGGCATTTCAATATTTGTTAGCTTCATTAAAAAAAATGGAGATTATCCACATAATACTCAGCAATCATCTAAAAGAGTGAAGAAGGGCAACAGCATTAGGTTGAACAGCGGGAAGTTTATTATTGGTTGTTTTATGAATATTTTCATAAGTATCTTTATGTATATATAGTAATAAGCTTTTGTTTAAATAGCGGTCGTGTCAGTATGGAAACTCCCAATCACTACTTCGCACATATCCGTATTTCTGGTTTGCTAAATTTGGATCACGTAGACCTCCAATGTTAAGACTTTCAGGAAAACTATTGCTTTACATGAAAATAACATGAAATTATAATATTTGGTGTATTATCATGAAAGTCAACGGCAAGTTAATGCTAAGTTTTTAAGTTTATTTAGCTTTAAAAATGCGTGAATTGAATGTGAATTTGTGTGGGAATGACGAATTGCATTCAATTTGTTTGATAAGGAAATGCCTAAAACTTCTAGTCTTCTATCATTCAGTAATGCTGATATTAAAAATTGCATCTTAATCATTCAGAAAGGAAAAAGCAAAGCTTTCCCGCTGTAGTGTTTTGTAACATATTTTGAAAAATAACAATTTGGACAAATTTGAGGACAGCATTCGTTACTGGAATTATAAAAATAAGCTTACCCTCAAAAAATCACCAATTCCATGTAGGCAGGCATCCACTAAGTACAGTTCCAAAAGCAATTGGAATATCTCGCCTAATGCAGGAGAGACCTTTTGTGATAAGGCTTGTATTTCAGTTAGAGCCGTATGCGCTAAAAATGCACGTCCGTGCAGCTTTTTTTTTGGTTTAAGAGTTATTATTTTCAAATTTTAAAAATAAAATTTTCTAAAACTAAAATAATTATGAAAATTTTATAAACAATTCTGTAGATTTATTTCCATTATTCTTATTATTATCAATAATAATATTACTTCTAAGGGAAGAAAATTAAATGCGTAGCTTAATCCCTCTGATTTGTTTATTCTGTTTGATAGTTACAACAATGTTGCATCGGTTGAATCAATTAATCGCTTGAAGCATGTCGAACTGTTTGTTTACAACAACGTTTTGACTATACTTGCACACCAAAAACTTCTGCTTATTGCGGATCGATAGGTCGCATAGGTCCAAGCCTTCTTTCTTTGTATTTATAAAGATCTGTTAGATATTATGCAAATGCATAAATATTTAAGTATTACTGCTTTTTTGTCCTTTTTACATATTTTCATGAGAAAGGTGTAGTTCACGTAATTTTCACTTTGATCATTTTACGAGTGACTAAAACGGCTCGACACTCAAGGCATTTTAAAATTCTTCATAAAAGAGAAGAACGTTTGTTACTTTACTTACTTATTCCATCTAAAATTTTAAGGATTCCGACCGCTCACAACATGCTAGTATTGGCATTCCTTTTGAATAGAAATTTACTCGCCTTATCAGTATCTTACCATTTAGATACATTAAACAAGGAAAGAGCGTTTGACGAACTACAACATACAGTAGGCAAAACATGCAAACGTGCAACAAATTTTTTAATGTCAAGATAATTCAGAAAATTTAATATGCCCCTTTGGTGAAAACTGATTGATTTAATAACCCTGTTAACGTTCTCCTATTCGTTTTGTTCCATTTCAAAACTCTTACTATTAAAATTTGTTGAATATTTTCTTAAAAATGTTTTAACTTACCTCCGCTGCTTGTACCATTTCAATACCACACCGATTGGTTGCCACTTCGGGTATAGCGCCCTTTCGCCTTTGCTGTTCCACGCGTTCGTATGCTATGCGTATTTTACTGAATTCGAGGAAAATTATAAAAAGAATTTTCTGAAGTATTTTCACCCTACTTACTTAGCAGCCACGTATTCAAAAGCCTCAACGATTGCTTCTGATGAACCATCAAAACCGACGAATTCTGGTTCTTCTATAATCTTTTTAATGTAAGCTACCGTCGGTACTAATTGCACTTGAGGATTTAAAGCAGCCTGTCCGTATGCTTTAACCAAATAACGCGCGGTTTGCAACAACATTACTGTGTTTTCGCCCTCATATGTACAGACTGCCGTGGACATACCATATAGAGTAGGGAAATTTGAACAATCCATATACCCATGACCTCCGCAAGCTAAACGACATACTTCAACACCTGATGCAGCATCTGCACTACAAACCGCTTTCAGGCAACAGGAGAGAGCGTGCATTTCAGGTAAGCGTTCTAAAGCTCCCTTTTCTATCTCCTGAGATACATGGGCGTACATGTCATAAATAATATCCCCATTTGCTTTAAACACAATGGCTTTGGCAACTTGTGGAAATAATTTCAACTGTTGCGTTATATGGTCCATGATTTGCGGCTCTGGCTTATTTGGATCTATAGGACTTTGACGTCTTACTGCTGAATAACGAACGGCGATAGTCGATGCCTTAGCTAAAGCCAACGAAGCGTCACGAATTAATACCACACGCACAAACATCATAGTGCCATAAGTTAAAGCAGAATTCTTCGGTGGTATATAGGTACCATCAAATAACACTTGTTGGTTCTTCATCAGCATATGATTTAGCGGCACTCGCACATTTTTAAAACCTAAATAACCATTGTTACCCGATTTCATCCCCAACTTTGGTCCAATTTCACCAATATCAACGCCGGGCACGGGCATATGAGTTTCCTCGTCACGTATTTGAACAATAAATGGAGCCAAACTTCGAAATTTCCGCAAAGTGTACAGTTGAGCAACTACCACCGCATAGTTGGCTGTATTGCCCACTTAAAAAGGGCAAGGAATTTTCAGATAACGTTTTCAAGATTATACTAACCAAAAAAAACTTACAGCCGCCCGGCCACCATTTATAAGCCGTTAACGTCGGTGAATTTAAAACGAATTCTTGAGTCTTTTCATCATAATCAGCGCGCGTCTCCAGACCTCGCAAGAAGGTTCCGTGACCTAATTCGGTTTGAGCGTAAGTACCAATTATATTCAGCTCCCAAGCTTTGCTTAACCATGTAATTTGTTGTTCCATAGTACCCTGGCCCAAAATTGTTGGTACGAACATAACGAAATGTACACTTAACGGATTACCTTCTTTAAGCAAGGCGCAACCTAAAGTACCACCTAACAATGCACTAAAAACATGGACTTAAAAAAGTTGTTATAACAAAAAAAGGAAATTATGGCAATTACTAACGTGTAGGTGTCAACACTTAGCTCCCCAACATCATGCAAGTCACGTAGTTTCTTAGCAATCAGCACTGCTTTACGTACACTGTTCTCATAAATTTGTTTGTGTGACATGTACGACAGGGGTAAGTCGTCTTTCAGTTCAGAGTCTTCTAAAAAGAGTTTTTCTGCGAAGCAAGCAGAACAAAGCATTATTATTGCTATTTTATGTTCTTGTAAGGTTAAGCAAATGAATATATTTACGAATAACAACTTAATCATATAATCAAAATATATAAACTGTTATTTAATTATTTGAATTGTTACAGTTCGAAAAAATGCCGAAATACGCAGATTCACCATTACGGACGCCTTGAAGCCATCTTACTTGGCTTTACATGCATTTTATATTATATTTTAACATATTAATAACTTAATTCATGTATTATTTCATCTTTTCAAATTAACAATTAACATAATTTTAAAGTAATATCATGGGAAAACAACATATTTTAAAATTTTCTTACTTAGTCAATTTTAACTTTGATGCGTATTCGTTTTTGTTTAAGTTTGCTCTATCGCAAATATATAGTAGTAAGATTTCCCAAGGCAATTCAGTAATTTCCTCTTTCGTTCTCAGATTTAGTAACAATTCTGTAGACTAGCGGACTGCTTTTCTAATTATTATTGACGAGAAAGGTCATGCGTGATTAAATAGGCCTTTTTCGTAGATCAAGAGAAAAATTAAGAATTGATTTGAAGACATGTATTCTTTACGTTTGCGATGCTCTTCACTTCAAGATAACTTCATAGCAGCAGCATTATCCGCTAATAATATGCCGAAGTTCGTAGGTGGAACAGATAATTTTGCTTGCAGCAAATTTTTTCGACTTTTGACTTGCCTTGATTTGCACTTGGATTTAGTTGAAAATGAATAGCCAGTGCTGTTTTCCTTTATTCTTTTGGATTTTTTCATAATTCGCAAGAAAATCTTTTCCCTTAATAAAATCAGAGGTTGGCATAATAAAATCACTAAAGTTTGAATTGTTGACAAGTGTACGTCTGCAGATCCTTTCTTGAGTGCGCTTATCTCTTAATCAAGTGCATTGGTATTAGTTTTGGCAGATTTTTAACTTAAGCGAAAATATGCTTTAGGGCGCCACTCACATCTGACGTCTGTGCTACAAAGTGAACATAATTTAATTTCGTAGACATAGTCCATCAACACTCGAAGCGAGTTCACCAGGCACGTTCTGTCGCACATTCTTATTCTAGACGAATGTTTGTGATCCTTCCCATATATGCAAAAATCACCTATTGCTTTGGCGTTGACGGTCAATCTATTTATAAAATTATATTAAAATCGAACTTTATATTCGTAAGCGTTAATTTATTGCGCCTTTTATAGTTTTAAGGCAAGCTTATATAGCCGACCTCCTCTTTGGAGAAATCGTCGAAAGTAACGTTTCACCATTAGCGCTCATATAGCATTGGCTTTGGACTGATACTTGTTAATTTTCACAGTGGACTAATTTTTGGTAATTTACTGCGATTCGTTTTGTTTATGCTGGTGTCTGGAAAAAATTTCAGGGAGCGCAGGGACATGAACATAACGTCCTTCTAAGGTAAATATATTTAGATATATTTCAAAGTCTAACATGTATTCATTTGTTTCTATTCAATTTTTAGCCGAGATATGCTCCGTGCGTCTAGCCATCAGCGCCATCAGCGCCTCATCGCAACTTCTTATATGACGATATACAACCCGTACGTGCTACTCTTATGCAAGCCCTCTAGAAGACTTTGTGCAACCCTGACAATCCAACTTTAGTCGCTTTCCGTGTCTTGGGTAAATTTGGTGGAGGTAATTGTAAAACGATGATTGAACTTCAACGTACGCAATATGTTAACAGCGAAATTCAACCTACTGCTGATGGTAGGCAATCATTTAAAACATATCTTATTTTTACCGCGAAGTGATGACGCTGGCGATAACACAGATAACAGTTTGCAATCCTCTAACGATTTGCATTTTCGCTGTCTTTACATGGCAGCGATAGAAAATAAATATATTTTTTTATTATTAGACGTAGGATCAGGGATGAGTACAAAACTATGGGAAGTGGCAAACAATACGGTATGTGTTTGAAAACAAAATCCGTTAATATTATTCAATCCTATCCCATAATTTTTTCTTCTATTTTTCTACAGTAACCAATATCTTGCATTTATTATCTTCCAATGACTTAATTTCTCTGGTTTTGGCATCCGAAGCGAAAAATATGTTATTGTTATAAGCTTCTGCTCAAGATTCTGCCCACGGCTTATATAAAGCCACCCGAGAACGTAAAGAAGACATTCTTAGTTTTATCAACAACTTATCTCTAAGCAAAACTCTCACCAATCATTCTTTGGGTTTTGAATTTGACTTTAAAATGTTGGCATGACATCAAAATTTGGGTTTAATTTCTTTAAAAAGCCAGCCCATCGAATTTGTGTACATAACATGTAGATTATTAAACAACTTTTCCGATGCGAAACACATATTGGCTGCATCCAATTATAATTAGCGCTTGTGCTGTGGTTTTGGGTAAAGTGTTGCTTTTAAAATTTTTCTTAGTAATTCTTACTTTTATTATGATTTTAAATACTTTCAGATGAGAAACGTATTATGTATGAAAAGCAATTTCTTAGTGATATAGCCAAACAAAATTATTCCAAATATGACATCAAAGTTAATGAGTCGTTCAAATCGAATCTGTCATTTGATGGAAAGTTTTTTACTTTGACTAAAAGACAATCGAAAAAGATCTCAAAAGTAACCATTGTCGTATTCCCAAAAGATTTCCGTGAAACATTTCTAGCGAAGTCTCGGCAAGTAAGTACAGCAATATTTGCTAAAAAATGCAAAGATATATTTATTCATATATTTCACTCCATCAAATTCAAAAATTGTTATCTTTATGGTCTGCAGATCCTTTGGTTTCCATAACTCATACCCTACCCCTTTTTGGTATTGTGAACGTTGATCTTTATCTCTCCGATTTAACAGAGGACATTGTAAGTTATCAACAGCATCATCAAAATGAATACGTTTACGCTTTCCTTTTGGAAACGAACGGTAATATTCTAGTTCATCATGCCCTAGCATGCAAAATCAAGCACTATTTCCAGTTGACATTGGATATTTAGAAAATTCCACTGATTTTTTTTAAATCAGACAAGGTCTATTGCAAGAAGAAGGCGGCCAAGCTATTACCTCAGTGCATTTAGAAAAAAATCAAAAATCTTTGGAAATGGTAAGAATTTATCTTTGGCAAAATGTAGAGAATGTGTATATATATTGTGCATGGTAATAATGCGTAAGGCAAAGTCGACAATAATCTCAGAATATCATAAGGATATTAACTATAATCCTGTCTTACAAATACCAGCTTCTTTGCCGTTAACTTTGGAACAATTTAACAAACACCCAAATTTACCTTCATGTTCAATGCCAAGAAATGCCCTTGAGGACCCGCAATGAACTTAATGTATCATCGTTTAGATTTATTACTTTTACGAGGATCTATTACCCTTTGCAGATATTTTCGACAATTAGCTACCATGGGTAAGAACACGACAATTTGCAATATGTTTACATTCTCTTTCCGCTTCCAGATGGCGCAAACTGATTCCTAAGCTCCATCGCTTTTCAGTCGCCTTTCACTTTTCTCTACAACATTCGCATGAGTTCTGTTCAAAATTAAATGCGTTCGGTCTAATAACTTTACATATATATATATAATTACCAAAATATATTCAATAGGCACAACGGGCAACTTCTAAATTTATTCTATTTAATTTAAATTTGACAAGTCCACCTAATTTTTGTAAAAGCATCCCCACATATATCTAAAACTTTAAATGGGGTGAATATTATATACATGTTCTTTATTTTTGTTTCTTTTATTATAGTAGCGCAATAAAAACTAGTTTGAAATCTTGCAGTATTTGCAATCTAAATACATGTATAACTATTATTCTCTTGATATAGCTTTCTATTTTAATTACTCCACAAAAGCTACTTTAAAATTATACGGAACAACAGAAAAAAAAGACTATATATAAAGTCGAAAGTCCACAATTTGCGAACGTCGAGTACAATTTATTAATTATTAGTTCATCCGGAAACTTACCTAATGCTTTCCTTTTTTCATATTTTTCCGTGCCACCATCCCACCAAATAGTTAATTCGTATGGATTGAAAGTAGCGCCGTCACGTTCTTGTTGTAAATCTGGATTAATGTTGTACATGATGTTACTTAAAGGATATAAAAAATCTCTACATATGTATATATATATTGTGCATATATATGTACGTTTTCTTTAATCAAAAAATTCGCAAAATTTAGCCAATAGGACGCTTGCTCGGTTGCGTATAAATTGATAAAAACCGTGGTGCAACTAAATTGTTGCTGTAATATATTTATTTCACGCGGTCAAGTATTGGAAACGCTCTATTGGTTCATTGCTGAGTAAATGAATTTGCGATTTCGCTCAGGCTAAAATTGCTCGGTATCCGCTGCACTTTCTTACTGTTTAGAAAAAGCTTAGTTGAGAAGCATGTATTGTGCTAGCGGTTTTGAAGCAAAAACTCACTTAACTAACAACTCATTTCTCATTATTCACAAAGTTCGTCGACTTCACTCAAATGATAACAAAAACTTATTTTTCTTCCTATTGTTCTCTTCACAATTTGTTTGAATTTGTAATAAGCAACTTGTTTTTTTTTTTTTGTTTGTTTAGAAATGGATTGGACCAGTTAAGTTAAAGTTAGATCCATAATCCAGAAACGAAGTTGAGAGCGATTGATGAAAAAATTTAAGCATAGGTAGACTGATGTGGCAGAGTGTTCGCAATGAGAGGCTCTGTTCCGCTGTCAATCCATAAATCACCGTATTTGGTACTGTACTGTCAAGTTCCGGCTAATAATGCCGATAAAAGAAAAAGTGTAGGCGATTCGTGATTGTAATAGAAATACTAAATGTAAAATTAGAATGAAAGCTCAGCTGATTTGATAAAGGCAGTCAGTTGCTTCAAATGCCTAAAGTTACCAGCACGAAAAATTTCATATAAATTGTTATACAGGGTAAATATACTGAAATATTGTCTAAGGATGTCAAACCTCCTGCACTCAAAAATAAGATGCTCGGCAGACTCAGTAATATTGCAATCCTCACAGATGTCAGAGGAGGAGACTTTGATCATTTTAAAATAGACCTTGTCGTAGGTGTGATTACTCATAAGACGGTGAAGAACTTTAAATTCCCATGTTGTGAATTTTCGTTTAGGTAGAAGCGTGGGTGTCAAAAAAGGGTAAATTTTGTAGAACAGCCGGTCACTTTTTTCTCTAGCTAAAACATGATACTCATCTTTCCATTCTTTTATGATGAGTTTTTTGATTAGCAGAAAAGCTTCGCTGGAGGGGTAGTTTATGGACAAAACTGTACCATCGAACCTAGCTTGACGAGCATGGAAGTCAGCTTTTTCATTGATACTAAAACCGCAGTGACCTGGGATCCAGATGATGTGGCATTTTTCAATACTTGGGTCTTTTAAAAGGTTGTAGATATCGAAGACATACTTATTGAACGGGTCTTTGTTCTTGATTAAAATTAGAGCAGATTTGCTGTCAGAGAAAACTACAAATTTTTTTAGCTTAATTTCAGATGCATGGATGATTGCTTGTCTGATGGCCAGAAGTTCAATGAAAGTGGATGATAGTTCTTGTAGAACTTTGAATTTTCCTATAAGTAAGTTTGGGTATTCAATAATTGAAAAACTAGAGATATCCGAATTGATAGATCCATCCGTTGCGTATATTTTGAAGTTATTTTCGACGAAGTGGTTAAGTTTCTGCAGACAAGCGATTCGAAGACAAGACCCTGATCGATTTTTTTTTGAGTTGGTGATCGAATTAAGTAAGTTTAATTCAACTACGCATTTATCATGAATAATATTATTCCAGGATGGTATTGAGTTAACTTTATTGAAGATGTTACTGAATTTTTTGAAGCAGTTAGAGTAACTACTGATGACATGATTGTGTCTGGAAGCGACCTCGTCAAAGAAGGCAGGTTTGAAGATTTTTACCTTGAGAAGCTCTTTTGCAGTTACAAGATAAATTCTCTTAGCAACGGGGAGTTCATAAGAGATGGAACGTAAAATTGATGTTGGTGTTGAGGGGGACAAACCGGTACAACGTCTTAGGATTGAGTGTTGAAAGGTTTGTATTTTTTTTAATGTATACGCAGGAGCGTTACACGATGTAGAGTAGGGATATTCAATTTTGGATCTAACAATAGATTTGTAAACGTTTAATGCTTTCCTAGGTGGGAGTCCGGTGTGAATGTTGGTCAGAAGTTTGATGACATTTGAGCCTGTGTTGCAATTTTCGAGGCTATCCTTGTAATGCTCATGCGTGGTTAAACTTGAGTTGATTATTCTGCCCGAAAATTTAAAAGAGGAAGACGGACTGATTTTTATACCATTGATTGTAATGTAAAAAATTTTTTTGGGACCCTTAGCAAAGCGAACGACTTTTGATTTTTCCGGGTTGAAAGTTAGATTTAAGTCTGCACAAAGTTTGTGAAAAAGATTGGCTTTAGTGTCGAGGTTACGGACTGCTTCCATTAATGATTTTCCAGCAGAGATGATGAGGAAATCGTCAGCATATTGAAATAAATGGGTAGAATTGTCCTGTAATTGATGTAAACCGGCTGTGTATAAATTGAAGAGAACTGGGCTGAGACAGCTACCTTGAGGTAAGCCTCCACAAACTTCGACTGTATGTGAATCTAATACGAAAGTTCTCGAGGAAAGAAAGTTGAGAACCCAATGCCTATTTTGTGTCGGGATTTTAAAATCAGATAGAATTTGGTCCAGTTTCGCTAAGTTTACACAGTCGTAAGCTTTATTAATGTCTAAGGAAAGCATGACTACCTGGTTCCCATTTGCTTTTTCATTTGCAATTGTGAAAAGGACTTCATTAAGGCACATACCGGTGGAGATATTTTTTTGGTAAGCAAAGGACCTTGACGGGAGAAGGTGTGAGTGATTCAGGAATTTTGTTAGTCTTTCTTTAATCATTTGGTTGGTAATTTTTAGAAGAACAGGCAAGAGGGATATGGGTCTGAAGTTGGTGAATATTTCAAGATCTTTTCCGGGTTTAGGAATGGGCACTATTTTAATTGTACGCCAAACGGTGGGAAACGAGTTGGTCATCCAGCGCTCATTTATAGCAGATAGCAGGGTTAGAAGGCTTGGCATGGGAAGGACCTTTATCATTTCATATTTGATTCCGTCATGGCCTGCTGCTGTGGACTTCTTTTTCGACTTAAGGACGTGCATGAGTTCATCAAGGGAGAATGGAGAGATGTTTTCCATCCGAGAGTTAAGTAAGGAGGTTTGGAGACCACATGTCGAGGGAACTTGAGCTTTCAGCCATTCAAGGTAGGATTTGTTGTTGAGATCATCCCAAATGGGGTGCTTGTATTTCTTTTTTGTGGTGCGATGACCATTTAAAAATTTCCAGAATGGCTTTGTATTGCTATTTGAGCATAGTTCTTCGATAACGAGGGCTCGATGGCATCTTTTGGCTTTTCTAGTCGATTTCTTCCATTCTTTTTGTGATAACTTGAAATCTTCAAAATTAGAAATATTGGGGTATTTGGAAAATTTTTGTTTAGCAGCCTGTAATCTACGGAATTGTGAAGTGAGCAGCTCGTTCCACCAAGGTTTTGGTGAGTAGGAATTCGAGATTTGGATGTCGGATTTGGCGTTAATCATTTCTTGTTGAAATGAGCACTGGATAGATTCGACCTGTGGCTCAAGACATACGTGAATAAGATTATTTAGGAGTTTTTTCCTCGAGATAAAGTCATTTATCTTGTACGAGGTAATAGAGGTGGCATTAAAGAGAATAGGAAGGTGGTGGCTGTTTCCCAGGAAAATTTCTTTTTTAACCTCCCGTTTGAATGTGAGATGGGTTGCGTTAGTGAAAGTAAGATCCAACACGCTACCACAATTGTTGGTCGTAGAGTGAAAATAGGTTGGTGAATTATCATTCAGACAATAGAAGTTACTAGCTTTAATGATTTCTTGCAAGGCTTTGCCTTTATAGTTTGACACGGAGTCACCAAAGCAAGGGTGTCTTGCATTGAAATCTTCAGCAATTATGACATTGTGGAAACTATTGAGCATATCACAGAGACGATTAAAGTCATCCCGGAAAGATTGAATGGGGATGTTGGGCGTGAAATAGCAAGCAGCAATGACGATATTAGGTTTTAGACAAGAGGTTTTGATAATGACTATGTCAGCAGTCGATTTAAATGGGATTTGTTTGAAGGATATGCCTTTTCTGGCAAGGATGGCAACACCTCCATAGCCGTCACTTCTACATTTATAAGCGGAGTTGTAATTTGAGATTTTGAGATCGGAAATTTTTTCATCGGACAGAAAGATTTCACTCAAGATGGCGAAATCAGTACGGTTGGAATTTATGAAAAAATCAAGAGAATGGGCATTACGCCTGAAGCTTTGTATGTTATACTGTAGGAAGGACGTCATGAGAAATGTTAGAACATGATAGGGCCGACCCAGATGTACCTTGTTTTAAAAGATCAAATTTTGATTTAAGGGAACTTATTTCTGTTTGGATGGTTTTAAGCATGTCTTCTTGAGAAGAGATGGAGAGAATCCTGAAAATCTTTTCCAGAATTATCTCCATTTCAGTGGATTTATGGTTATTGACGAAAGTATGCTTTTCAGGGGGCGGGGTAGGTTTTTTTGGCTCCTGCGACTTGTTACTGTGAGTCGAGGGCGTCTTGAGAGACATTCTGTGCAAGGACTTGGGAATACTTGTTTTATTTTTTAAAACTGCATTGAAGTTTTTGTTAATTAAAATATTATTTGTATCAATAGTAGGGTCTCTGATATTGTTAGGAGCATTGCTGTCCTTCATTGCTGGGAAGTTTACGTCATAGTTTTCAAGTAAATTGTATGGGTTGTTAGAGAATTTCTCTTTGTATTCTCTAAAAGATAAATTCTGGATGGTTAAAATTTTTTTTAAATTTTCCTCTTTCTTTCTTTTTGGACACTCTCGAAATGTTACGTTGTGGTCCAGCGACCCGCAACCTAGACATTTGATTGAGAGGCATGAGTCCGTAGGACAGGCCGGTGACTTGCCACAGTTCAGGCATCTGCTTTCCTTACTTTTGCAGAATTTGGCGATGTGACCAAATCGGCCGCAATTATAGCAGAGCCTGACGGAAGGAATGAAGTAGTCAACTGGAATATTGCAATAGTTGAATTTTATACTCTTGGGAATTAGTTTACCCTTGAAACCAATTTTTAGGCTGTTTGTTGGGATGAACATTTCTCTGTCTGCAGGGTCTCTTCTGAGGATTCTTGTAACAGAAATGATTTCAATATCAGAGGTAGCTGAGTTGAGAAAGTCCTCTTCCTTAATTGAAGGTGGAATGTTTTTTACGATCCCAAATTTTTCTGTGAAAATTCTAGGGATGTAGGCCTTGCAAGACCTTGGACCAAAATCATTGTTTATTATAAAGTTGTTGGCATCAACCGCAGTGGCAAAACCAAGTTTGGCTTTGCCATTGGTGATGGTTTTGATATTAATCAAACCATCCAATTTGAGATCTTTGATGTGTTCGAAAAAAAATAAATCTGAGTTAAGGCGGAAAGGTTTCTCTAGGTTATTGTTGCATACTTCAATGAATACGTAGCACTCACCGGTCGTGTCGTCACTATAACGATTTGGACTAGTTGGGTCATAGCTCTTTCCTTTTATGGGACTACTATTATTGTTACTGTTCACCGAGCTGTCTTTATTGGGAGGCTTATTCCTAGAGGGAGCGATCGGGGACTTTAAGGAGGTGATATTGACATCCTCAGTCAAGTCTTTTACAGATGAATTGTTCTTATCAGAGATGATCTTTTTGAGACCTTCGTTCTGGGCTGTGATTCTTCTTTTAAGTGAACCCTTGCTATGCGTGATTCGAACAAAATTTTCGAAATCATCATCGTTTGATAACATGTTTGAGAGCCTCACCCCCTTGAGGGGCGGGCGACTTTTAGGTTTCGTGCTAGATTAAAGGCAAGAGAAAAGGATCAACTGAATTACCGAGAAAAGAATGGATATGGAAATCAGCCGTTTTTGGTGGAACCGACAGAGACAAAGAAGAACAAAGCCTTGTAAGTTAAAGCAGTTTTAAGAATTTGACAGGAATCGCCGCTACTTGATGTCCAATGTACAGGTGAGTTGACGAAGTGAGTCTTGTCAGGATGAGGTTGAAGACAGCAGGTGGTGCTGCGCAATTTGCGGAGAAGCACAAGGACGTCGAAGCCTTTGTTGATTTTGTTTAAATGCCGCAACTTCACTATATATATTTTCACTACTTCAAAAGTTTTCAGAAACAAAAAAAAAAAGAGAATTTTTTTTCTTTTTTTTGTTGAAAAAAAATTTTTTTTTCAAGAATTTTCTGCAAGAAAGCGTCTTATTTCATGCAGAGTTGCCGAGCGTTGAAGCAACTTGTAATTAAGAATTCACATTCTATTACATGAAAGAACGAAAACTTTTATTTACTTTTGTTCTATAACTACAAGGCAAACAGCTGATTTTACGATCTTTACTATTTTGTAGTATTTATCTGCTGATTTGCTCAGTCGTAATTAGACTTAAAATAAAACTGTTTTGTGCCAATTTAATAATTTTTTTGTAAAGCAAGCAAACGAGTATCAAAAATCGAAAACCCTGCTTTTGATTTTTGTATTCTAAGCAAGTGCTTGGGTCGATATATATTGAGTTGTATTGAGTCGATTATAATTTAAAAATTCTGCATGTTTCCACCGTAGCAGAAACCTAGGAATGATGGTTGGGAGTTTGTATTCCTATTGGAGCTGGCAATCGTTTCATACAAATAGCGTTCAGGACAGCCCTAGACATTCTGATTATCAAAACTACAAATACAATCTTCCTATTATTTGCTTACTTTCCGCAATATTTAGACATCCTAACATTCCGCGATCAAATTCGAAAAACGAGTTACTTTTGTCGACAATCATCAAAAAATTCCTTCCATATTCTAGAATGTTATAACTTCAACGCTCAACACAAGTAGAGGAAAATCGTTGCTAACATCCTCATTCCTCAAATGTGCACTCTCAACAACGGAAAATGCATTTTCTACAGTTCCAGTCATTATCGACCAAATCACAGTAAATGTATACCTAATCTCTCCAATCATCTTTGAAACTAAGTACCGAGTTCCAATCAGCCTTCTCACCGCAAGATATTTATTACCATCCATTTTTTCGAAAATCTAGTCCGACAATAACTTCGGATCCATTCAAAATACTCTCACAAAAATTCTACAATCAACCAAAATTAACATCGGTTGCATCCTATAATCCAAAATCATGAGTGAACTTCAGCTTTAAAATTCTTTTCAGAAAACTCCACACTTTAAAGAAAAATTTAACTGTTACTGTAATCAAGAAAACTACAACAACCCTTCTCGTCAAGCCAAGAAACAGGTGAACAATTACTGAAACTAGTCCACATTTTTTGTAGTTAAACCATTTCACTTTAAATGCGCTTGTGAATTCTCAACGCTTTTATAAGATGCATGCCTACCGCAAAGTAGCTGTCTCAATCCGATTGCTTTCAATCTCTACGCTGCTGAGCTTAAAAATATTGAAGATTCGAATACTGCCGTGCTGCAGTGTACGAATAATCTCCTAGTAGTTCTCTCGAACCGAGCCAGCAATCTTTTCGTGAACTAACCTCAACCTTAATGCAAGTAACATTTTTACAATCCATGCTGCTAAGGGTTCGAACAAACAAATTGACATGAGCATCAATGGTGTTCATATCACTCAATCAATTTCCTGGTAGAAATGTTTGTGTATATCAATTTTTACTTTTCTTGGTAATTACTAAAAATAATTAAGGACTCCAGTAACAACGTCAAAGCCATCAAACTAATGACAAATGAAGCGCTAATCGGCTCCAAAATTGTATCTGACCGATTAACCATCTTAAATTCTCCAAAGTTCATGGAAAGACAGATTCAAACTTTTCAAAACAAGCAACTTCGTCGATGCCAAATAATCCCCTCCATTTACTACCCTTCCAACGACCGACAATCCCGTCTATTCATTATAAAAGAGGTAATAAAAGTCTTATGTAAAAATCCTGCAGTTTACAATAAAGTCATTTCCTCAAATTCCACTTGGGGTCATACTACCAATTACAGTAAATTCGTGAATTTTTTCAATAACATCGAGCCTCATCATTCGAAAACTGAAAGCGTTCTCTTCAATAAACTTTCCACGGTGGCTCACAGTAAACAAAATCTACCCCCATCAATATCGCATCTGCTCTGAAAGATTCAATGCATACATATGACTGACAGCAAAGCTGCTCTCCAAGTGATATCTAAAAAGGAAGAATATAACCTATATGTCGCCAACGTCTTCAAGTGCGTTGCGCTTTCGTCTGTACCTGAACTGCATCTTATTTGTTTATTATTTGACTACTAAGCCATTTTGGTCCTCCACTCAACGAAAAAGCGAACCACCTAGCCAAAGAAATTATGGAGAGCTTCTTCACTATCATTATACCTTTAAGGAAGCCATTAGAATTATCAAAAACTCTCCTTGGGAAATGGGATAATGAATTTCAAATTACTGCCAAAGCATTGCATACTAACTTCAAAGATAATCTCTGAATCAGTTCAACTGCTCAACCAATCACGTAAATTGCTTTCCACTCCAATGCTTTCTAACAGGTCATACATATGACAAAATCCATCTTTATATGATTGTGCTGGCACCTAGTGAGCATTGCGACTTATGCAACTTAAGAGAATCTGCTGAACACTTAGGAGGTCGATTCAATGAGACATTATTCTTATTGTCGGGCTGGGACTTCAACTTTGCCGGCTGTTGGGAATTGACTTTATAGAAATTGACAAATCGTATGGTTTTGCATGTTATTTATCTAATTTATGTTTATTTTACACTAATGTACATTTTTTATTAAGTGATTTGCAATTTGGTGTTGGTGCTATTTGCAGGTATGCATGCAAAACCATGTAATTTGTCAATTCCTATACAGTTTCGTAGAAGGTCGGTAAGTTTGAAGACCTAGTCGAAAATTGTGTCATTGCCCTATAATCTTCAAATGCAAAGTACATCAATTTCAGCAAATGCTTCAGGTTTCTCTCATTCTTAAGATGCATTTTCTTAGCACGGGATGAAAGGTTACATAATTAATTGGCTTTCTTTATATAAGAAACGAATATTGAAATTTAATGCATTACTCTAATCCGTCATATCGATTTACCTTCATTAACATCGTTATATCGACACAACTATGAAGGAATCACTTTTCTGTTTTTTTTTTCATTTTCATTACACGGCAACACTATACAACGTTTCTTGTTCTGTAGGTTACCAAATCAACAACACATGGCTCGATGAGTTGGACAAAAAAGGATTAATGCGAAAATAAAGATTTTTATTTGGACCATAATAAAATTCTAAAAATGTTTGATTGTATGCTAGCTAAGTTCTTTTTTTCCGAATTGGTTTAAAAGACGTTATTATTATTCTGAGTTTACAACGTTCCTGCTAAGTATCGCAAGGACTCGGCGTGAAATTGACTCCATGTATGTAACTATAAAACGAATCAGAACCGCAGCTTAACATTTCAACAATAAACAAAGTACACAAATATGAGAGAATTTTATGAAAATTTGCAGAAAAAATTGTTAAAATCTCTAAAAATTGTTAGAAGCTACGACTGGTTACTTAACTCCTATGTACTGGTGGGATTACTTTGCTGCATTGTTGGCTATATGAATTATATCTATGGTTTCATTTAAGGATTTCTACGTGAAAGACCATTGGTCCAAGTTTCCTGGTTCATGGCAGCAAGTGCTAGAAAACGTAATGCCAGAAGACCTATGTTATATTCTGGATTTCAATAATAACATAGCAACTTTGCAGACGTGGCCTTTGAGTCTACTAACACTGAGAGTCTTATTCAAGGAGTTATGTATAAAACGGGAAGAAAATGAAATACGAGTCAGTTAAAAGCTGTGTAATATGTAATATGTATCGTACTACTAGCGTTCTTAAAGTCTATATATCATTTCAGTTCTTTACTGCAGCATCCCAAATTGAAAGAAATTTTCGTCAAGGGAGTCAAGCGTAAAAAACGCCATGAGCTAGAGTTTATGGCATCAACATGTGTAGAAATGTGTCAAAATGTAGCTGTGGATTTCATAGTTGATTTTGGCGCTGGCGTAGGCCATTTAGCACGTGTTTTAGGCTTCGGGTGTGGCATTAAAGTGTGTTGTATAGAAATGCAAGATCAGCTTAACAAACAGGCTGAAGAAATAGATAAAAAAATGATGGCGTTAATAAACAAATATTTACCTCCGAAGCAAGCTAAAACATGTCAAACGCCCACGCATGTGAATCTATGCATTACCCCTGCGACAGCGCCCGAAGCATTTCTCCAAAAAATACAGAAATCCTTAAAACTAAGAAAAGATGATTATAAGTTTGGCATTGTAGGTTTACATTCTTGTGGAGATTTGGCGGCAGTTCTAATTCAAATGTTTTTACATTGTAAACAAGCAAAATTCATTAATTTAGTGGGATGTTGTTATATGAAATTATCTGCTAAAGATACAGCTAATGAAACGGACCAAGGCTATCCCTTAAGTCAATATTTAAGTCAACGTTCATTAAGTTTTCTCAGTTATGAGGCGAGAGAAATATCGTGTCATGCAATCGAAATGTATAAACAAAGACTAGCGGGTAACAACTACGACTACCTCAAAATTCACTCCTTTCGAGCAGCTGCTGAGCGAATAATTGCAAAACATTATCCCGAATTAAGACACAGTGGCTTGAAAAGCATTAAGCACTGTGGAAACATACAATTTGAGGAGTAAGCATTTTTGCCAATACGGATAATTCCTCACGCACGCTTATCCTTAGATATTTTTATAGAGCTGTTAGCGGCTTGCCGCTGGCTACCATTCCCGCAGAAAATTTATTGACAGCAATCACTCAAAAGGATCTCTCGCGTTGGCGGCAAATTGTCATATATTACACATTACGACTGTTTTTTGGTCCTCTAATTGAAAGTATCATATTGTATGATCGCATACTATTCCTCGTCGAGAACGGTATATCAGATTCATAACTTTCTGAACATATGCATGTATAAATACAAATCTTTTTCTTTAGGCTGTATTGTGGATATTAAGTCTGTATTTGAGGCTACTATTTCACCACGCAATCATATAATAATAGCTGGGAAGAGATGATGAAACTCGTTGAAGCTCACTTGGCGGAACCTCTGCTGTTTCATTATGCTTTCGTAAATACAATACCTATAAGAAAATGAAAAAAATGTGTAAGCGTTTTGTTGGAAACGGAAAAAGCTGAAGGCGCTTCGATGAAAATGAAAAAAAGCTGAAGGCGTTTCGATGGAAATTAAGAAAAGCTGCAAGTGCTTCGATGGATATGAAAAAAAAATTTTATGAAAATAAACAAAACCTCAGAAAAATCCCTCATCCTCCTGTATGGAATTGTTTACTAAAAACTCGATATATGCATATTTATTTGTTTAGCTTATTAATGGTGGGTTAATAAAACCCCTTGAAACAGATATTTAGTTTTTTACAATTATTTGTAAAAATAAACTATAAAACAGACTGACAGCGGATTAAGAGATAGTGTAAACATTTATTTATAATAGCCTTTATCAGCCGCTCCTTCCACAATGTTGCGAATGGCAGCAAAAGCCTCTTGTGCGGTAGGCAAAATTTCTTCTGCAGGGAGCAGGAACATGTCCTCACTGTCGGGAGGGCCACGCAATTCAATCGTGTAAGCTATCGAAATGCCTTGGGAGTAAGCCCAATCCACACTGCCACCGCTGCTAGGATAAATAGTTTCCATTAAACTACCGCTGGTGTAGATTTTGCCCGACAGCTCCTTAATTGCCACACTGGCTCTTTGGCCTAATTCCTTTAAGTCGTCATAATTAGGCGCAAGCTCTTTGCTATACCCATATGGAAACATAATCATTTGAGAGTATGAGTGCAAAGCAATGTAGGTTCTAATTTGTTCCTTGTTGACATTGTTTTGAATGAATTTTATTAAACGTTGAGTTTCTAATTCGCTGCCTTCTGAAGGACCAGCGTAATCATAGCGACACGGGTCCGTACTACTGCCTGTGGAATTCCAATGAACAGGATAATTTCGATTCAAATCCACACCATAAGTGGTCATAAACAGCTGGCGATTTTTACGCCACATGCGGTCACATTCAAAAGTAAAACGGTAACCATCGGGATTAATACAAGGAAAAATGATCCAATTATAAGATTTAGCGAGATTTTGGATGTCTTGTTCATTAGACCTAAGTAAATTGTTTATTATATAGTTAGCAGCGGCAGGAGCTATCCATTCTCTGGCGTGAATTCCGGCTTCTATAAATATGGTTTTATTGGTATTCTTATGAGAAAGTTTAACACCTTTTATAGCAGTGCCTTGAGTACTTCCGCCCATATCTAGAATTGTTATCAAATTAGGGTATAATTTCGCTAGAGAGTTCATCCACTCATAGATAGTTTCCAAGTGATAAAAATGGTGCCAATCGAATTTAGTTACATCCGTCCCAACAGCCGCTACCGACGAATAGCTTCGATCGATTTTTTCTTGGAAATTATACGTCTTGAAAAATAAAAATCGCGAAAAACTCCTTATGTATCTGTTCAAATATATGCGAATTTTTAATAAAAATGCCACCTACCAATATGCGATGGATTACTCGATAATGCTTTAATAGAAGCGTTAGATCAGCCACTTTGTGAGCGGATACTAATATACTTAATTTTTGGCCTACTTCTCTTGGATGGCCAATGAAAGACATTGAATCACTTTGTTCCTCCAATTCTTTAAACAACTGCACATGCTTTTCGTTACTAAATTCAACATTGTAGACGCGATAGTTGTCGTAACGAGCCATTTTTAAACGGCTCGGTGCAACGATCAGTTTAATTGCAAAATGGTGAAAATATATTGAATGATCTGTCGTCCGTCACAGTGGTTGTGAATTGAATCAATCCGCAAAAGAGCGCAGTTAATAAGCTGCTACTATTAAAGGAAACACACGCATTCACAGTAGAAGCGTAAACTGAAAGCAACTCAGTTTTTTTTTAGAAATATTTTTTGGTTTTTGCTCGTTACCCAAAAATTGTTAAAGTTAAAAGCCTAAAATTTTCCACATTTACTTTGCGAAAAACTCTACTAACAATGTGCAACAATGGAACCAATCGACAGTGTCCACATAAAGTTACGAGTAATTAAATTTAATTTTTTTCACTTTTTTGCGGTTTAATGCTTAGTTATCATAACGCAAACAAGACAGAAAAAACTATACTATTTTGTGCACCCTTTTGTGCGATTAATTTTTTCTTAATAATATCAGCGATAACGTTATCAAATAAAAGAAATTGAAGAGTAGAATGGGAAAATCAAAGCGGTGGTGGGTATGCGAGATTCGGCCCCGCCGAATATAATTTTCGTACTTGTTTGACTTTAAATACGATTTGTTAAACTAAGTTCTAGTTATGCATAATTTATATATATTCACAAGGTCACACTTAATAACTATAACTGTATTAATTACAGTTAAGCAAGTTAGTATATTGTATCTACACTTTTACCTTTGAAAACATGAAACAAGGAGCCAGCTCATGAAGAGAGAAATTGATTCAAATCAGTTACTTATTTCCTCAACGCTTTTTATTAGAAACCACCAAATCTCCGCCAGACAGGCTTTCTAACTTAATTGGAATACATAGAATGAATGTACATATTATAAATTATTCAACCTTTTTTTAGCTACCGCCATATCAAGTGCGCAAATTTATGAATATATGCGTTAACGAACTACCTTTTCTCATAGTTAGTCTAAAGAAAGCTGGAAAAATGGTTGCTACGCTTTCTCTGGATATCAGTAAAGCCTACGATTGTGTAAACTTGATAAAGCTTGGTAGAATTTTCTTAAATTTTTCAATTGTTCTTCGAATACTAAACTTTTATCTAAGTGTATCTTGGTAATGGGTACAGACAAAGTTAACATATCCGGTGGTATTCCACAGGGCAGTTGCTTCAATCCCACACTCTTCAACAGACGACAGAACTCATATTTTTTAATATGCAAATGATTCTTTTACTGTATCTGCGGATTCAGCCTTTTCAGTGCCCGTGAATAATCTCTTGATAAAAGCTAACCTCTTTTTCGATGCATGTGCCAGCCTTAACTTATATTCCAACCCAGCATAATAAATACTATATCTTTAGCAAAATAAATATCTTTGGCAAAATAAATAATAGTATTTACATGCAAAATTAGGCTCTTTATCAAAGAAACTAAAGTTAATCAGGTGAAATATCTTCCATTTCTTGAAAGATGGTTAGTCCGGACGTAATATTATCAAACTCATGACTAACAATCAGTCAGGTTTGCCCCCCAAAATAGTTTTGACAATTTACAAAGCGTTAGTCAGGTCTAAGATTGAATTTGCACATTCCACGTTTTGTAATTTTCTAAAATATATTGAGAAACGTATACAAACATTCGAAAATAAAATAGCAAAACGTTGTGCTGGCTTGGCCTTCTCAACTGCTCAAAATATTCTCAATTTCACTTCTGGCGTGTGGCTCGTTTCCGAAACAGCTTTTTTTGTACTTCTAAGAAGTTAATTAAGGTCAAGATAATAAATGTTCTCTTTATCCTGATAACCTTAATCCCTCTATGGAATTTTGATAACAGTAGCGGCTTTTAGCGAAAAATCAAAACCATTTCATAAGTGCGAAAAGAAGTTTGACAAAGTGAAAAATTGCGAAAAAAAAATTAAAAAAAGGAATAAAAAATTGCAAAAAATTATAAAATGAAGTTTAGTATATTAAAACACTTTAGAAAAAGAAAATTGTTTAGTAAGTTTTGATAAGTGTAGTGTTTAATAAATTACATTTTTAAGGTAGCTATTATGAATGGTCATAAAAAATTTGTTGTTTTTTTGATAGTAAGTCAGCTTTGCTTCTACTAAGTAAAAGAGATGTAGATAATCAATATGTTTTTGATATACCGTTATATAAATCTCAAGTGGATGACTGTCACCTTGTATAGGTCACTGTGGCGTTTTTTAAAATGAAAAAGCCGATTTTCATACAAAAAGTGCTCAAGTTGATGGGACAATTTTGTCCCTCAAATACACTCCCAACGAAGCAATACGAGCAATGCGCAAACATATCTTTCAACGACTAAATGATGAATTTAAAGAGATCGCGCGTGTCACAGGCTTTATGGTTTTAGAGGTTCTTTTAGCTCTTTCAAGTTTTATGATGGTATCCTCGATCACTTTGTAGCAAAAAATGTACGTCATCTTGTGAAACTAACTTGGTTTGTTAGAAGAGCGAATTTATAGTTTTAAATTATAACATTCTCTTATTGTTTTTATCACATTACTTTGCTCCGGTATATTCACATGATATAATTTATAAAATTCATTAGTTCGCGTCCTATTTCACTAGATATAAATAAATATATATATAAATTTGAGAAGATCAGACGTTTATTTTTTTGCTGTAGGTTGCTTGTTCTTGTTCCTTTTTTGGTGTAGGTCGCTTCTTTCTTTTTGGTGTAGGTTGCTTGTTCTTGTTTTTTTTTTATGTAGGCGCAGGTTGCTATGTTCTTCTTGCTTTTTGGTGTAGGGGGGCTGTTCTTATCCCTTTTTGTGGAGGTTGCTTGTTCTTCTTCCTTTTTGGTGTAGCTTGCTTGTTGTTTTTAACCACTTTTTTGTTGTTGTGTTTTATATATAATTCTCACCAATAATTACGACTGTTTATTATCTGGACGTATAATCCACAAATTTACTGGCTTAGTCCATCTCAGCATCCAAAGGAAAAAACAAATAAACTTGTGGAAACTGATTAGCAAAAAAAGAATTTAAAAAAATGGATCTAGGCACTATTAATTGTTCGGCAATCTACAATTACAGTTAACATTAAATATCCCCGATCATAAATACCCAGACCGTAAATATTCCCGACCATAAATTCGCAGACCATAAATATGCTATCACTTCGTTTTGTTACTTTAAAAATTAGCCTAATTATATGTTAACATTTGAATCTATTTAAATTGAATGTTTGGCTCATATCTGTAACATAGATGTCTGCGATCGGATTTTGCGTAAAAAAACTTTTGTATAACGCTTAACTACACTTGGCCGGCTGTTCTTCCATTTTATAAATAGTTGGCTATACTTTTATTCTATTATTAGATGTATTTGCTAAGTCTATAGATTTAACCTGCTGATAGCCTGCGGATAGCTTATGTATTGGCGAGGGCCCATCCAAATCAAGGTTATTCCATTTGTACTATGCTATGAATCGGGATAGTGATACTAACGACTGTCGATGTTTAATGTGATGACTACCTTTCCCGATGTGCATATTAATCGCTTTGAAATGATTCTGTAATGGTAAACCCAATTCCGCACAGGAATCGTTATCCATGTAAAAATAAAATAAGATTTTACTTGTTCCAAACGGTCAAGCAGAAACGTCTTACCAACACTTTCGCTTCCTTAAACATGGTAAAACCGTCACTTATAGAGGTAGCTCTTAATACAAGCTTTGCATGTTTGCGACATTTTCAGGCATTCCTCATCTACTTGTATTAACTGAGAGTCAAACCTGTGACCTGTCAAGTACAACTATGTAATTAACAAATTTTTATTATTTTCCTGCAATTAAGCGAAACTATGTTAATAATTACGAGTTTAGCTTTGAATAGAATCGATAATTAAATGAAAAAAATTGAAAGATTACAGAATGTTCATCTAAAATATGTTAAATTATTGACTGATAGACTTCTTTCTGCAAAGGGTAGTCAGAAATCATTGAGATTGGAAAATTAATAATATTTGTACACAATTTCATAAATATGTTAATTAGTTCTTAATTTTCAATGTCACAACTTTACTTCTCGAAAAATAAAGTAGGATTTCGTTTTCGACATCTGCGGGGTGCTTCTCCCATACTGCAACAAATTTCAGTTTTAATTTTCAGGACTTCACGCATTCGGAAAGGATAAGGACATTTTTTAAGTAAACCCGAGTGCTGGATATTGCAATTGATCTAGAAGATACTGATGCAACTTTCAGAATATGTACGTAGACCAGTGTTAGCACAAATCGCTACATTATAAGATCTTTTTAAAATGTCGCCAAGACGTTGAGAATTTTTACAGCTCATGGAATTTGGGATGTAAAGCTGCATATTGCATTTGTATCTAGCAACGTCAACAACCCATTTAGCGAACTATTTCCACTTTCGCCACCAACCAAAACATGGGAAATAAATTAGCCGTTTAATGGGACTAAGTTTATCAAGCCAGTTAGGAAATTGGGTATAAATTGGGGAAGAATTTGTATTTCAAGATATTCAAAAAGTGGACTCTTTATTTGACGTTATGTCCTCTGGCAATTTTTTTTTATATCGAAAGGACTAAGTTAGGATATTGTTTTGTTCGGGTCATATAATGTATTTACTTATTAATACGAGTCTCGTTAACGACTGGTAGAATTGGAAAATTTGATTTTTAATTTTTTTTGTCATGTTCTGCTAACAGGTGGAAACTATTATCTGGCTGCCCTAGCACCATAACACTATCTCATCTTCAATACAATTCACCATTGCCTTCAAACAGGAGAAAAGATTGTGAACTCGTTGATTATTGCCTCTTTTTAAAATAGTAAATTAAACACATACAACCTTCACGATAATCCGGTTAGTAGACAAGCACGAAAAAGCAGTACCGCCCCCTCAACTCTAACCAGCTGTCCGAAAAAATCAAACAATTCGCAAATCGAAAGAGAGAGAGAGAGAAGTTACGTTTACCTGCAAACGGCCTCCAAAATATCTTAGCTTCGTTAGAAGAGCTATGTATATAAATATCGATGCCACATCCTCATCCTGGCTCACTACCTTGCTGAAATGACAAAGAGCTCTAGGTCTGCGGATGTGGAATGAGGCGATGACTAAATGAGACCGCTGCCATTTTCTTCACTCTACCCACTCGCTTACGAGATACGATATATAGCGCGATCTTTTGTTTGTCTTACAAACAAACGTACATAAGAGATTCGCCTTAACTAATAGCTTTATTTATGTTTTCGATTATTCTGTGAAAAACATTTAGAGATGCTTATTAGAATCAATATATTCATGCAAGTGATGTTCTCTCCACCGAAATATCCCTATTAACAGTTTTATTATACCCTACACTATTTGTGGTATAGGCTATAATA